GTGGAAGGATCGCCAGAGCCCAGCAGGTTGAGGCTGCAGTGGCCAGGAGCGGCCACTGCATTCCAGTCTGGGCGACAGAGTGAGACTCCAAATAAAAAAAAAAAAGCTACCTCAGACACCCCCACGCCCTATGAGCAGCCAACTGACCCTGTGTGCACACATTCTTTGTGGCCCCAGGCCAGAGGCCCCTTAGTCCCATCTCAGTAAGTACAGGAGCTGGAGCTACTGCCTTTTCTACAGGTGAGGAAACGGAGGCTTAGACAGGGCCAGTGGTTTCTCCAAGGTCAGGGTACGCTGGAAGAGAAACACTTCTCCGAGCTTCGTTGCCAGCCTCATTCAGGATGGATGAGGTCCAGAGGCCACGTTCATGAACACTGCTGCCCACACCCAGGCCAGGTGGTGGGAGAAGACATTTAGGTGCAAGTGCTGAGAGCATGAAGACAGCAAGGACTAGAGCTTAGCAGGCTCCCTGGAGGAGGGAGCATGGGGGATGAGGGACTTAGGCACCAGGTGGGCCGGGAGGGCAGCCCGGGCTGGTGTGGCAGCCTAAGCAAAGGCATCAGGCCTGGTGGGAGCCGCTGGTGGGGGAAGGTGGGGGGCAGACCCTGGGGCTCTGGGACCCCATGAGTTTCTGGAGTCTTCCCTGAGCACTCTCCCCAGGGTCACTGTAAGGGCTGGTTTCTGGAGGGCCTGGCATGTACTCTGCTGGGCGGCAGAGGGGCTTCCAGTGCCAATGTGAGGAGCCAGGCTGGATTCTGAGAGCGACGGGCCCGGGGCTTCAGCTGGGGAGCATGTGGTCTTGGAGGTGCAAGGAAAAACACCCCCTCCTCTAGGCCTGGCTCCAGGCTCCACACTCAGGCTGGCCTGGCCTTAGGAGCCAGCTCTGCCGAGCATGCAGCTTGGGGTGAATGACTCAGCCCTTCTGAGGGGGGACAGGGATCCTCTGCAGGCAGGCTGTGGAGAGTGGAGTGAAACTCTGAACTTAGAGATGTCTGGCATGTCCCCTACTTCCCTGGACAAAAGGGATTCGCTTCCTCTCAGCACACAGGACCTTCCCTGTCCCAGAAGGCGCCCATCCGCCCCACTGTCTAGACAGGCTCCACTGTCTAGGCAGGGACACTGAGGCCCAAGGAAGGAGTCTGGAGCCTGCCCCTATTCACACGATGGAGCCTCTGTGAGTACAGGGCACCAGCTCCCCGGGCTCCAGGGACAGCATGCAATGGGGGAGCTGGGACCCCTTCTCACTCCCATTTCACAGAAGCACAAGGTTGAGGCTTAAGTCACTGAACGACTTGCCTGAAGTTACACAGCCAGTCGGGGGTGACAGACCAGAACTTGAACTGGGGTCCCACTGTGGCTGGCTGGGCCCCAACCTTCAGGCCCCTCTGCATAGGGACCCTGCCAGCTCTGCCAGTCCCCACACCTCCCCCTCTCCCTCCCCACACTGCTGTCACCACAGGAGGGCGTGGAGGCTGCTGCAGTTAGTCACCCTTCCAGCTGTCAGTTTGCAAACACTCCCTTCCTGGCCTGTAGCTGCTGCCACCTCCCCACTACCTTGATGATAATAATAAAAATAATAACAGGCTCTGTTTTCTGGGCACTTATTCTGTGCCAGGCCCTGTCCTTGGCATGTTATGCTCATCGAATCCTCCAGCTCTGAGACTCAGGGGCCATTATTATCCCCATTTGGCAGATGAGGACCCCAGGCAAAGCCCAGAGGGGCATGGCGGCCTTGCCTAAGGTCATACCTCGAGCAAGCATCATGAAAGGCAGCCCAGGCTGGTGTGACAGCCTGAGCAAAGGCGTCAGAGCAGTGTGACGCTGGCCTGGCGGGAAGGTGGAGACAGACCCTGGGGCTCTGGGACCCCACGAGCTTTCGGAGTCCTCCCTGAATACCCTGCCCAGAATTGCTCTAAGGGCTGGTTTCTGCAGGGCCTGGCATGTATCCTGCCAGGTGGCAAGGGGGCTTCCAGTGCCACTGTGTCAGGCTCCTGAGCTGTTCTGACAGTCCCCCCTATTCCTGGTTGCTCCCTGTCTTAGTGCTCCAC